CTATCTAAATTATCTGTTTATATCTAAACTATCTGTTTATATCTAAACTATCTGTTCCATCTAAACTATCTTCTTTTATCCAAAATATCTGTTTCTATCTAAACTATCTGTTCCATCTAAACTATCTGTTCCATCTAAACTAGCTGCTTCCATCTAAACTATCTGTTCCATCTAAACTATCTGTTCCATCTAACTATCTGTTCCATCTAAACTATCTGCTTCCATCTAAACTATCTGTTCCATCTAAACTATCTGTTTCCATATAAACTATCTGCTTCTATCTAAACTATCTGCTTCTATCCAAACTATCTGTTCCATCTAAACTATCTGCTTCAATCTAAACTATCTGCTTCCATCTAAACTATCTGCTTCCATCTAAACTATCTGTTTCCATCTAAACTATCTGTTTCCATCTAAACTATCTGCTTCTATCCAAAATATCTGTTTCTATCCAAACTATCTGTTTTCTTTCTAATCTCTCTATTTTTATCAATTTAAACCCAAATATGTCAACTATAGTGTACTTAATTAAAGTTTAAGCTTCCTTCTTAGTTTATTCATACCAGCACTCAAAGGCCAATGCAGGAAGGGGTAGTGGGGTTTGAGCCCCCCCCCCCCCCGAAAAGGTTGAGTAATACTTAAAAAGTTCGGGGGGTGTCCTGCCCCCAAAGCGGACACATTCTTGGTTTAAAAATATACCCCCATATGTTGGTTCTTTTACAGTAATCTATCATTTTAAATTCATTTCATTAAAATTTGTCCTTGTTCAGGGGCTTCAATTTTCTCTATCGATTTTTCATACATCGTACAACAGTTAAATCAATTTTCAATTAAGGACCAGTAACATTTTGTTTCCCACCATTTTTTTTAAAATTTTAGTGCTGAATATAATTTTATTGATTTAATGAAAACATCTGTCGAATTCTAGGTTTCTATTCGACTACAATTAAAGTTGTGAAATTAAATGATAATTTCTAATTTTAATCTGCCTAGTTAGCTTGTTATAGAATAGTTTAGAACTCCTCTATTTTAAATATTGGTCGCATTTTGTATTTGTTTATCATTGGATTTTTCCAAATCTGGTTCAGCAGTGTATTTAAATGTAAAAAAATAGTGTAAAACCCTAATTGTACACATGAATTTCAGTAGTAATCTCTGTTTGTTCGTTTGGATGTCCGACCATAACTAACCCTGGACTGATTAGTCAAAAATTTTTAATGGGGGACTTGGTAGAATCAAGGAAATTTTCTAAACCTAGATTGAAAATTTTGAGTTGATTGGGTTTATAGGGAAAGCTCCAGGCAAAGCTGGGTTCCCAGGCCAGTTTTCTAATATTCTAATATTGTAGAATCGGTTGGTCAAACTTAAGGAAATCATGGTTAACTCAGCGGAACATCAGTTTCTCTTACGAAATCTAGGCCTAGGTTTACAGGTTTACAGGCTTACAGGTTTACAGGTTTACAGGTTTACAGGTATGCAGGCTCACAGGTTTATAGGTTTACATGTTTACAGGTTTACATGTTTACAGGTTTGCAGGTTTACAGGTTTACAGGTTTACAGGTTTACAGGTTTACAGGTTTACAGGTTTATAGGCTTACAGGTTTACAAGTTTACAGGTTTACAGGTTTACAGGTTTACATGTTTACAGGTTTACAGGTTTACAGGTTTACAGGTTTACAGGTTTACAGGTTTACAGGTTTACAGGTTTACAGGTTTACAGGTTTACAGGTTTATAGGTTTACTGGTTTACAGGTTTACAGGTTTACGGTATTTACGGTATAGAGGTTTACAGGTTTACAGGTTTACAGGTTTACAGGTTTACAGGTTTACGGTATAGAGGTTTACAGGTTTACAGGATTACAGGTTTACAGGTTTAAAAATTAATTCTCAAGTTCTCAAATATCAATTTATTAAATTAAACTAAAACCAACTTCTATTTTGTTGACTGTGCTTCAAGTAATCATAAGTTTTAATTTCATTCAGAAGATTCTTTTTCCGTTTTTCATATTTTTTACCTGTATCAAACGAGTTCAACTAAACAACTTTTTAGTTTTCTTTATTTTGTTTTTTTAACAATCCCCTGAATTCAATTGGAGAGAAAATGTGAAAATTTTCCCAGTAACCATTCATCCATGCATATATATCTCTTAATCTTGAAAACTGAATATTGTACTTGGATTTCATATATATTAATATATACAGTGTGTTCCACTTAACATGTGAATAAATAAACCAATTGTGATATAAAAAGAAAAATTTGTTAAAAAAGTAAAATTATTCTTTAAAATAGTAAACATTTCTGTAATTCATTTTCTTTAAAAGGAGTTTTATTTTTCAAATAATTCCAACTGGGAATAAAAATATACCTGGTCGTCTTTATATAGTTGATGGGACACACTGTATACACGTATTTATTACATTACAATTCTTATTTGTGAATTATTACCAAAAGTTCCCACACGAGCAATCTGAGCTTCTTTCTTTGGTAATGTTTAAAACCAATATTACGATATTTTCACGTGTTTTTCTTATTTAACCGAAATATGAACTAATCATAATTTCTGAAAGATACTAGTTCAGAGTATTACACAATTAACCCTGGCAAGTTGCAAAGTAAAGCAGATAAGAAAAAGACAGAGAAACTTAATTAACCACTTGAATTTTAATTAGCGGTACAGGGGTAGGTACACATACAAATATTAAGCTACAATTAAACTTTTTAATTAGTTGTACAGGGGTAGGTACACATACAAATATTAAGCTACAATTAAACTTTCTAATTAGCGGTAAAGGGGTAGGTACATACAAATATTAAGCTACAATTAAACTTTCTAATTAGCGGTACAGGGGTAGGTACACATACAAATATTAAGCTACAATTAAACTTTTTAATCAGCGGTACAGGGGTAGGTACATACAAATATTAAGCTACAATTAAACTTTTTAATTAGCGGTACAGGGGTAGGTACACCTACAAATATTAAGCTACAATTAAACGTTTAAATTATACATTAATCATGGTAAAACTGGAATAAAGCTAATAAAAATTTCTTTCTATATATAAAGTTGTAATCTCTGTTTGTCTTTTTGTGTGTCCGATCATAACTCGGATACCCTTGGACCGATTTGCCTCAAATTTTGATTAGGGAACTTGGGAGATTTACGGGAATGTTCTTAACTAGGTTTTAAATTGAGTGGGTCGACTTTAATTTTTAAAAAAGTTTAAAAAGTAGTTTACGGCACGGGTCGGAAAATCGGTGGGACTAACTATGACTCCCCTGGGCCAAGCTGGGTTCCCAAGCTAGTTCTGTAATAAATTCCGAATCTATCTTAACAATTCTGAGGCAGCGATTTAGACAATCTCAAAACTAAGCTCTCACAGAGACTAAAATCAGACTAAAATCGGTCACAAATGGACTAACGTTGTAATGTCAAGAGACTCTCTATTTGAAGAGGGGTATTCACGTTTTCACGATTTTATAAAAAGGGATGAATTGTAATTGCGGTTTTTCTATGCAAGAGACGAAGAATGTTATTTACAGAATTCAACTGTCTTAAAGATCGTAAAACGATGATATTTTTTCTATTGTCGCTTAAAGACATATTTAAATGGTTCCGTTATGAATAGGACGTGTGTTTTTGTAGGGTCACCTGAAAGTACATCCATACAATCGACATTTAAAAATATTTATACCAAGCTCAATTAACATTATGAAAAAGTAAAAATATGCGCGACAATTTCTCATTGTTTGATGCTTAGTTTGTTCTTAACAATATCATGGTAAATCAATTAAAATCATTAAAGAATTTAATGAAAAAAATGCCTTATGCCTAGATTTGTGTAAACTGTTAAGCATGAGAAATATATTGTCTGAAATATATTTTCAAGGTAAAATCAATTCTGAATTTGCCGCACTCTAATAATACCTACACTAAATACAATTAATCACAGCAGCTACACTTTTAACAGTCTAAGTATTGGTAAAGGGGATTGTAAACGAAATATTATTTCAACAAGTCCCAATTACTCCATTTCATTAGTCCCGAACTATCCTCTGTAGTCCTCAACATCAGTTTTATGAGTCCTTAACACTAGTTACTACTCCATATATGCCATAATAGTACTTTCCACTGTTCAGTAGTCCCCAATAATCCTCTATACCCCTCAGTAGCCCTTAATATTTTCATTAAGTAGTTCCCAAATAGATTTGATATCCCTCAGTAGTACCAAATAATTCTTTACGCCCCAAATTATTCTATAATAATCCTTTACATCCCTTAACTCAAGAGTTCCCAATTAGATTTGATAACCCTCAGTAGTACCAAATAGTTTTTTTACGCCCCTAATTATTCTCTAATAATCCTTCACACCCTTAACTCAAGAGTTCCCAATTAGATTTTATATCCCTCAGTAGTACGAAATAGTTCTTTACGCCCCTAAGTAATCACTAGTAATCCTCCACAACCCTCAGTAGTTCCAACTGATCCCTTTTCCCCTCAGTATTCCATTACACCCTTGAACCTGAGTCTAAAAGTCCCAAAGATAATAAACTATTTAATTCTCAACCTAGAGCAAAGAAATCTACCATGTAACACTGGCTAACATTTCTAACTTCTGAAATGTTTAAGCAGTCTTAATTTTGAGCGTTACACAGGCAGTGCACTACTATGAATATTACTAAAGATAAACATCTTTTTTATCATTAAATCCCATAATTCACACTTCTACATAAACAATGATTTAAATTGGAATAATTATTTAGAACAATAGTATAGAGGATATACAACACACGGTTCCATATCCTTGAACTGCAAGGACCAGTCAACCGTGTGAAATATGTGTGTGTTTATGAACCTTTACAAATAATAATATAAAATTACTTCCGTAAATTCTAAGGGGGGCTGGCCAGGGGGCATGTAAGAGTGAAGGTTGAGATCAGTCTTCGAATGAACAAACGCATGCGTTGACCTTAATTACGCAATCTAAGATCATTAATGATTTCAGGCAAAATGTTGAAGAACATGATGTTGGTAGGAACCCTCTGCTGTATCCTGGGAAGTGCTCAAGCAGCCGACTTTGGTGAGTAAATTATTTTTAAAAAATAAAATTTTTTGTTAAAATGTGTATAAGATCAATATTTTCAATTATTATAATATGTTTTAAGATAAGATAGAAATATGACGGAAAAGGAAAAATGTAGATTTGTTTGTTTAGACAATACTGAACTAGGAAGACAGTTTTCATCGTTTTCTTTGAACAGTACAACCCTCACCAATATAGCAGGTAAAAACAGTTTTTCAAAATTGCTTTTTATTCTTCAATTACTTTTTTGAAATTAATTGTTATTTGCGAATAATTTGAAATATTGATGTCAAGCCCAGATTACAGACAACAATTAGAGACTGTATTTTTACTTTTGTACACATCTGCGAAAAGTTTTATCTCATAAAAAAGCTGGAAACGCCAAATATTTTTTTTTCAAGGGGGGGGGAAGGTATTCAACTGATCAAATTATAATTTATTTACTAAATTTTTTGAATAGCTGGTGCTCTTGTTGCTCTGCTTCTTGTTATACTTGCACTGGTCAAGTTCCGTGACTACAGGCCAACAGGTTTTTATAAAACTTTAAAAAAAATTGTTTTATTGATCTCTTAAAATACTGAATAAATTAAGTAATTTCATAATATTTTCTAAATAAAATGAGCATATTTACCCCAAACTCTAATTTTCTAATTTCCTTATTTTGGGAACATGGTGGTGCAAACCTTTTATATTTTACCTGAGATGGACACATTTTATACTGTCTACTGTCTACTGTCTACTGTCTACTGTCTACTGTCTACTGTCTACTGTCTACTGTCTATTGTCTATTGTCTACTGTCTACTGTCTACTGTCTACTGTCTACTGTCTACTGTCTACTGTCTACTGTCTACTGTCTACTGTCTACTATAACCTACTATTCTAGTTGGTGGTAAAGGGCAAACGTACAGTAAGAATGGAGGAGAAGAGGTGTTTGATGAATATAAGCAGAGAAGCGGAAATATTGACGGTAAATACGAACATGAAAATATAGAACAGAAAATTAAAAATTCAATTTTGAGAAAATTTTATCTCACATTTTTAATTACAATTTCATAATACATGGACAAAGAGAATTTTTAATTGTTTAGAGGCAAATCATTTTCTTTTCTAACTTATGTGTTTTTCATGTGTATATTTTTTCAAAAATTTAATTTAGACTAAATATTCGCACGTCTTTATAAAATATGATTGGTAAATACAAAATATAACAAGCTTATTTTAGAGTCTTGAATGTTAATTGAATGAATTTATATGACCTTGGTACAAATCATGATATGGTTTTTTCTGCCATTTTTACTTCTTTCTTGTTTCTGCTTTTGAAATACTTGAATTTAGATGAACATATCTGTCAACCTCATCCTTCTTTTGTCATTTTACACAAATACGTTATAACGTTTAATTATGCAAACCAATATTACTTTTTTATTCCTAGATAGTTTTACTTAATTTAGATTTCACCAACCAGCTGTACCTTTTGGCTGAAGCTTTTACAAAATACGGCGTAACTGAGGTATGTTAAAAAATCCATTTTTTTGTTGAAAATTCCGTTTTTCATTTGAATTTTGTGTACATAGACTGGATGCCAGCTGTACGCTACATGTACCGCCAGCTATACCAAAAATGACAGCCTCTCAAAAATCATCACTGAGATTATGAGGTACGCAATACGCATAAATGAAAAAAATTGAATTCAATCCGGAATGTTTCTTCAACTCTAATTATATATTTTTTTCAGCACCCTTGTATCCCAGGATACTGAGGGACTTTTCAAGGATGACCCTTATATGAGGGTAAGAACCTTTTATTTATTATCAAGAAAATATATATTTTTATTATTTCTATATTCTTTCTTTTAGGATTTGATGAAGTCTTTCAAGACTGGATATTTCGGCTCAGACTGTGAAAAGTACAAAGATCAGTGTAACAAACCTAAATCCTATTAATCTTATAATAAATCAATCAATCATCATTTAGAAATTCAGTCAAATTTTGATGTAAACATTCAGTGAAACAGTATTATAAAGTTAAATAATATTAAGTTTACCAAGTTTAATTAAAGTAAGTATCATATACTAAATAGTAAATTGTTTTATTTTATTTTGTTGAAATAAATTCTATTATTGTCGATATTTTTAGAGTTTACTTAATTTGAATACAGTGCTCGTCAAATTCAAGTGGAATTTAAAGTGTATTAAACAATAATATTTTTTGTTGTCAAAGTTTGAAAAATAAATATGCATAGGATGGTAAACCAACAACTGCACAATTGAAGTGTAAACTGTAAAGTGTGTGCTAAACCATGTCTTTCAAACAATATTCTTTTTTGGTCACCACTGTCAGATATACACAATGTTTAACAAGTTTTAACAATGTTTTGTGTTGGATGATCCCGGTCCTTGATCTCGACATCTACTACGGGCACTTTTAATTTACAGTCTATAAAAACTAGACATATTCCTCCCTAAATCAAAGCTCCCATCAACCCCTGACTGGACAAGATAACCACGCGGATATCGGAAAAAGATTAAATTAATCTTCAGATCAAAAAAAAGATCGAGGTCAAACATTGATCTCGATATCCACAATAAAAGAATTCTCAGCTCTGGATACATTTTTTTAAAATAGTTCAGTTGCAAATTCCAAGATGTTTCGCAACAAATTATAATTAAAACGTTTCCGATTCTTGAACTGCCAAACATTGTGTAATTATTCAATTTAGTGTTATCATGAATTCTCTTCCTGGTTTTATAATAAAGAAATCAAATATATATTAGTTGAATAGTAAATACTTGTTCCTTAGTGGGAAGATACCTTTTATAAAAATAACCAGCTAAAACACCCAGTTTTTGTTGTAAATTTAACGATTTATAAGTATTTTAAAACGATGGGCCGCACTGAAATAAAACCATGAAAAGAGAAAAAAAAATTTAGCATCTTGATTATGGTTTTTAATTTAAAAAGTTTAAAAACTTTTTTTATCCTTTAAACTTCATTATTCCAAAAGTTTAAGTTTCTCTTTCAAAGTTAAAAAATTCTAAAAATGAAAAGTAAAATTTGAATTTAAGAGTGAGAAAAACTGCAAATGTTAAAGTGGGCATTTAACCCCGCCTTGAGACCAACAGGGTAAGTCTCTGGTTCAAACTTTAATATTCAAAGATGTTACAAAGTACAAACTAAGAAACAGTAGCACAGTTGTCGGCGTTCGTGTCATTTCTAAGTAGAATAAGAATTATATTTCTTTCTAAACTAAAGACAAGAATACTAAACATTTCTACCATTTTAAGATTAGAATAATTTTCTTTTCTAAAGTTAATCTTTTTCAGTCCCCCTGTGTTTAAACCTGAAGAAGAAAAGGTGAATTAAGAGTGGTAGTTTTACCATGGCTTAATTCTTAAACTTTTTTTGTGTTTGTAAATATTTTTATGGACTGCATTTAATAAAAACTAAAAATATTAATTTTTTAAATCTAGTTTCCTTCTCCCACTGTTTCTAATGGTTTGGTGCAAAAACTAAACAACCAGCTCAGCAATGCGTCGGAGGTAAACCTAGTTTCATCATAGTCTAAAAGTCGTCTTTTACTTTCCTCTTTAGAAGTTATGTATTTGCAGGTTTATAATTTGTCTATGGACACTCTTTACGATGCATATACAACCTCAAATAGGTAAAGCTGATTATAATATTATTAACAGCAAAAAAATATATTTTTAATTTGTATTTTATTTGAAAATATACAGGATGTACCATTAAACAGGGACAACGGAGAGACGACTAAAAGATCTCATATGCCATCTAATGATAAACTACTTATGGCTTGGTGACTTTGAAAATGTGTGCGTAGTGAAATTGTTGCACGACGCAGGAGGTTAAAGTCACATTGTGACATTTCACATTATGGAGAATTATATTAAATTGTTATTAGGGAATGATCAAAGAACAAAAACTATCTTTTTGTCGCCTAAATTTTTATTTTTATTGGTACACCCTGTAGTTTCCTTGTCTCTAGGAATATATATTGAAGACATTAATGTTCTAGAAATATATCGAAGAGAATGTCAAAGTTTGGGACTCTACCGAGGAAAACTAAAAACAAAAGTCAGCACTTTGTCTGTTTCTGGAAATATTACTTTTATGCTATTGGCCTATTTTTCATTAACTATTGATAACCTTGTCGTTTTGGTTTGCAGTGCAGTTTTTAGACAAGTTTTCTCTTTATCAAGAAATTATCTGATCTAAACACTTTTTGAGATAAAAAAACGACGTTATCTTCCACGTTTTGATTAGATTAAGGAGTCAAGGTCCAATGGTACCTTTGTAAATCTGACATTGCGATCTTTACATGGCGGGTCACTTGTAATATCCTAATTATTTCAAAGAAAATCCGGCAACCAATTAAGCTTCATTGATCGTGGTATAAGATTGGAGAAACTCCATGAAACGCCGTGTCTGAGGATTAATGTAAATCAGTTTTTTGATTGAATAATACATTAATTATATATAAATATATATATATTTCAGCTAATTTAACATAATAAGACGAATGTAATTTCAAAGAAAAAAGTATTAAAGATTAAATTTAATCTTTAATGAAATTGTTAAAGATGTTACTGAGTTGACAACTGCAGACCTTCTGGAAACAATTCTTCAGGAAAATGAGGAAAGGAGGAGAAATAAGACGACATTTCACCCAGTCCCAAATTCTCTAATAATTGAGGGATAGTGTCCGGAGCACGGATCAACTCACTTGCAATCAACTCACTTGCAATCAACTCACTTGCAATCAACCTCACTTCCCATCCCATCATTTGCTATCAATTCACTTGCAATCTGATTCCCTGGCACTCGGTCTCACTTGCTCTCGCCACACTTGCTCACAAGCCCAACTTGCTATTAGGTAAATTTGCTATCAGGCCTCAATTGCTATCAAAACGTATGATCTCCAGTCTCAACTGCTATCAAAGCTCATCTGCTATCCAAAACTATAGTTCCTTTCTAAATATGTTGCTATCAAAATTAGTTGTTTTCTAAATAAGTTGCTATCTAAAACCATTTCTTAGTTGCTACAGGGTGTCCCACGAAACATGACAATAGCAAGACGACTTGAAAGTCGTCTTTGATATTTGAATTTATTTGTGACATTTAGTCTTCTATCTACTTTAACATGTATGATTCTTGAAACAATTATCACATAATTCTCCTAGCCCTAGCATTTCCAAAAAGTGGTCTGCGTTTTTTGTGCTTTCAATATTACCGGAGATATAAAGAATTTGGTTCAGATTTCAATTTTGTTAAATAAAAAGCAAAATTGTCGAAATCTAAACGAAATTGTTCATATCTCGGGCAATATTGAAAGCACAAAAAATGCAGACCACATTTTGGAAATGGCAGGACTAGGGGAATTTTGTGTTTATTATCTCTAGAAATTTACTTCTAAAATTAGGTTGACAAATAAACGCAGCAAATTATATCAAAAATCAAGACGACATTCAAGGCCTCTTGCATACTGTCATGTTTCGTGGGACACCCTGTATCTAAAACCAGTTCTTAGTTGCTATCTAAAACCAGTTCTTAGTTGCTATCTAAAACTAGTTCTTAGTTGCTATCTAAAACCAGTTCTAAGTTGCTATCTAAAACCAGTTCTTAGTTGCTATCTAAAACCAGTTCTTATTTGGTATCTAAAACCAGTTTAAATAATATAATATGTTTCCTAAAATCAAATCAATTTTTAAAATGAAACAGGGAGAACAGTAATAATTACAATAATGCAGTATATGATATTCAGTTTAAATCTTAATTTAGGCATCTTTGAGAAAACGAACGATGTTCTTCATACATAAACCAAAATGCATGTTATCATAGGCTTCATGCTCCATGCCCACGCAAAGTTTGCCAGAGAATGAAGAAATCCAAATGTTGAGAAATTTTTCCATTTTTTGCGGATTTTTTGGAAAAAAATTGGTGAAATTAAGGATTAAGATTTCAAAATTGTCGATAGCAACTGAGGATTGATAGCAAATTGGCCTGATAGCAAGTGAGGCTTGAAAGCAAGTGTGTCTATAGCAGCTGAGGCTGGATAGCACGTGGGTTGATCAAATGATTGTGTTCCTCATGTACAGTGATGACCAGAAAACAGTGTTGGAATAATTTTAATCTTCATTATATCCCTAATTATAATTATTGCAATTAGTATTTTTAATATATGTTTGAATCATTTTAAAAAACAAAATAGAAACTTCTCCCCAGTTTATTCATTGCTAAAAAACTATATGTGGCAAATCATTTTCAATTGGTTTACATGACCTAACACTGGTTCTGGAGTTTTTATTTTCTTTCAAAATAAGGAATCCTTTTAACGTTCAATAAAGTCCTCCTCTTCGTGTCTCCAGGAAAACCTGGAGATGTTAACTAACCTGGAAACTGAGGAGGCAGAAGACCAGGGAAGAGCAGCAGACATATTTCCGGGTTAAAAAAGAAATTTGAACTAATTCAGGAATTGGATATGAAATTCAAAACTTTGCAAGAAAATTGGACCATGACTCAAGAGCAAGGTGGTTGTTTATTTAGGTTGCTTACGGAGACGACATTTTCCGTACATTGCATTGGAGCGTATAGAGAGTAGGCAACCTTAATAAACATCCCTTCTAAAGAGTATAATTTCAGTTAAATCCCAAAGCTTTGAGTAAAATGGCCTAATCTATTAATTGTAAATGACCTATCTTTGATTTTCCTGTCTATGAAATGTCTTTTAAGCCATGCAGCAACCATAGTTTCGTACCTTTAACAACCGGTGTTGCCATCTAATTATCATTATTGATAAATGACAAAAACGCTTTGTTCTAAACTTACGAAATAATTTGGACCCAGCAATTATTAAAAAGGATGTACATTGAATCATATTCCAACCAATTCCGCTCGGTTCTTTCTTCTTCAATTTTAATATCTTTAATTTCTTAAAATTTTTATCTTAACATTGTAGTTTTACTCAAAATTTCGATATATATCCTAAAAACTCCGGGACGTTCCTTAAAACTTTGGGCGTTTTATCTCAAATTCAGAATTTTTACTTAAAACCCTTGAGTTTTTACTATAAACTCCGGGATTTGTACTTAAAACTTGGAGATTTTTAATAGCAACTCAGGGATTTCCAAAATTTAAAATGATTTCCGCTCAAAACTAGAGATTTATTATACTTAAAATTCGGGACATCTACTAAAAACTTGGTATTTACTTCGACAACGGTTATAACTCAGTTTAAACTAATGATTCCGAAACTCTGAGACTTACACTCTAAACTCCGGGATATCTGTTCAAAACTTCGGGATTTAAACTCAAAATTCCGGAATTTAATTGATAACTGCAGGAAATCCACTCTAAACTTCGGATTTAAACTGATTAACTGCAAGAAATCCGCTCTAAACTCCGGATTGAAACTAATTAACTGCAGGAAACCCACTCTTACCTCCGGATTTAAACTGATTAACTGCATGAAATCCACTCTAAACTTCGGATTTAAACTGATTAACTGCAAGAAATCCACTCTAAACTCCGGGTTTAAACTGATTAACTGCATGAAATCCACTCTAAACTTTCGATTTAAACTGATTAACTGCAAGAAATCCACCCTAAACTCCGGATTTAAACTGATTAACTACATGGAATCCACTCTAAACTCCGGATTTAAACTGATTAACTGCATGAAATCCACTCTAAACTCAGGATTTAAACTGATTAACTGCATGAAATCCACTCAAAACTTCGGACTTAAAGGGATTAACTGCATGAAATCCACTCTAAACTCCGGATTTAAGCTGATTAACTGCATGAAATCCACTCTAAACTCCGGATTTAAACTATTTAACTGCAGGAAATCCACTCTAAACTCCGGATTTAAACTGATTAACTGAAAGAAATCCGCTCTAAACTCCGGATTTAAACTGATTAACTTGTAAGAAATCCACTCTAAACTCGATTAACTGCATGAAATCCTCTCTAAACTCCGGATTTAAAATGATTAACTGCATGAAATCCACTCTAAACTCCTGATTTAAACTGATTAACTGCATGAAATCCACTATAAACTCCGGATTTAAACTGATTAACTGCATGAAATTCACTCTAAACTCCGGATTTAAACTATTTAACTGCAAGAAATCCACTGTGAATCCGGGATTAAACTGTTAACGTCAGGATATATATATAGACTAAAAACTCCGGGATTTCAAATCAAAACTCCAGGATTAAAACTCAAAACTCCGTGATCTACCTCGAACCCGGATATGATCCACTAGCTCCTCTACTTCATAGATAGAAGAACAGTTTAAGTTTCTTCAGAACCTGGACTCAATTCAAGGTCGGACGTTTTATCATCTTTTTAATTTTTCTAAATCATTTTTCAACTGTTTTTTTTTCTTTAGACGAACCTTCAATTCAGAACTGCACAGATGTTATTTATTCAGAAGATACTTTTTTCAAGATCACAGGGGGAGGTTCAATTTCAAGTGATGTGGTTGACACTGATACACAGTGTACTGAAGATACACTCGATAGTAGTAAAAAGAATGCCGATGAAACAATAACTGTTAGGATTCGGAATCCTGAAGATGCAAATAAGAATGTAAAAGATACAATTGATACTGGTTTAAAGGAACCTTTGGATACAGATGATAGTGTTTTAAACAAGAAAGAAGATACAATCGATAAATGTAAAATTTATAATGAAGGGGGGGGGGGGGTTTAAAAAACTTGATTATAAGTTGTCTGATGAATGGTTTATATCTATCAATTAGAGGGCTGGGCACGTTTTGAGTTTTTTCTCATTTCATTAACGTTTACGGTTAGTAACCTTTCGTTTTAAATTTTTAACCTTAATAATCTTAAATTTTCAAGATTGTTAACGGTAGGAATATGTACCAAATATTCGATAACTGTTAACGGTAGGAATATGTACCAAATATTCGATAACTGTTTTTCCGTAAACCATTGATTTGTACGTTAACGTGAGTTGTTATACTTGTATCTAATTCTAATTCATGGTTTTTGGGATTTAAATTTCAGAAAACAAAGTTTGATATATTTTGCATCAAGCGATGTTTAAACATATATTTATTCTTCCATTTTATAAATTATCTATTTATAATTTTACAGGTTATTTCTGTAACGATTGTGGAGAAATGATTACTGAAAAGGTAAATTCTCACCCACATATATTTCATGAAATTGTTTTACAATTAAAACTATGAATTAGTTTTAAAAAGGTTTTCCCCTTCATGTTTAATTAATGTGTTCTATAAACAGTAGATTTACTTATGCAAGTAACAGGGTAGCTATTAGAGTTCAGACTGTAAACAGCATACAGTTGCGTTTTAGATGAATTCAAGCGGGTTCCGATATGTTTAAACAGAAAAATCTCAAAAAGGGATACATTCTTGTCCTATAAACATGTATATTGTTTTATATATATAATATGTATCTACACAGATTAATTTGCCAGAATATAGTCAGAAACATGTATCCAATCTGTCAATGAACAATATACCCTGTATATTATAAATTGAAGGATATTGAACAGGGGAAAGGACCCCCATCACATTCCCCGTCCTTTTCCCCATCCCTTTTCCGATTCTTTTCCCCGTCCCTTTCCCCATCCTTTTCCCCCCCCTTTCCCCATCCTTTTCCAACTCCCTTTTCCCATCCTTTTCCTCGTCCCTTTCCCCGTCCCTTTCCAAGTCCTTTTCCCTGTCGTTTTCCCCGTCCCTTTTCCCTACCCGTTTCCCGTCCCCTTTCCCGTTCCTTTCCCCATCCTATTTTCCGTCCCTTTCCCGTCTCTTTCCCGTCCCTTTCCCGTCCCTTTTACCGTCCTTTTCCCCGTCCCTTTTCCGTTTCTTTCGCCGTCCCTATCCCCGTCCCTTTCCACGTCCCTTGCCCGGCCCCTATCCCCATCCCTTTCCCGTTCCTTTTCCTCGTCCCTTTCACCGTCCCTTTCCCCGTCCCTTTCCACGTCCCTTTCCCGTCCCTTTCTTCTTTTCCCCGTCCCTTTCCCCGTTCCTCTTCGTCCCTTGCCGTGAAATATCTAATGTCTAAGACATTAGTTTGCACTGATTGTGATTAGAAAATCAGGGTGTCTTGCAAAGACTCAATTCCTTTAATTATTCTTACATCACGTTAGGCATATACCTCATTATTCTTACATCACGTTAGGCATATACCTCATTATTCTTACATCACGTTAGGCATATACCTCATTCGTCCTAAATTTCAATTGTCTTCCATCTAAGATGTCCTAACAAATCAGAGGACATGAGAATCAGAAAAAATCAGATTTTTTCTCAATATGTGAAGAACCACGTTTTTATTTTATAATACGAGATTTTTTAGGCTAAAAATATACCTTAGAATTCATAAAGTTTATCAAATTATCATAGAGTAGTTTAAAAACGTAATTTCATTTTATAAAATCACGTCTGTTGGAGATGCACAACATATATATATATTTATCATATATTAAGATGGTTACTGTGGGATTAGATCGATACCATCCACTTTGTTTCAAATGTATAATCTGTCTTAAACCAATTGAAGGTAAAAATTAAATAACATTTTAAATCAAATAAAAAACATATATTTTGATATTAAAAGGTATATTTTACAAAACTGAAGAGGGTGGACTAGTTTGTGATGAAGATTTTAAGGTAAAAACTGCCTCAAAAAAAAAGTTTTTTTTAACATTAATTTAAATTCTGTTTAGAAGCTACAGGAACTAAAAAAGGAAGCAGCGGCACAGGAAAATATTAATTCAAGTTTCTGTAGAAAAGATTTTATGATATTCAATATTGTTCAATAGCATGAATATTTATCGAATTTAAAACAGGTTTAGGACAGGTTTCTGAATCAAACAAAAAGAGAATAAAATAATTTTTCTGTAATTGAACTATTTGAGTTTATAGTACTAGGTTTAGGTCTAGGTTTAGGTTTAGGTTTAGTTTTAGATAAAGGTTTAGATTTAGGTTAAGGTTTAGTTTTAGGTTAAGGTTTAGATTTAGGTTAAGGTTTAGATTTTGGTTTAAGTTTATGTTAAGGTTCATATTAAGGTTTAGGTTTAGCTTTAGGTTTAGCTTTAGGTTTAGGTTTAGATTTAGGTTAAGGTTTAGATTTAGGTTAAAGTTTAGCTTTATGTTTATGATGTTTAGGTTAAGGTTTAGGTTTAGGTTTAGGTTTAGGTTTAGTTTTAGATTAAGGTTTAGATTTAGGTTAAGGTTTAGGTTTAGGTCTAGATTTAGGTTAAGGTTTAGATTTAGGTTAAGGTTCAGCTTCATGTTTATGTTTAGGTTAAGCCTTAGGTTTAGGTTTAGGTTTAGCTTTATGCTTATATTTAGATTTAGGTTTAGGTTTGGGTTTGGGCTAAGGTTTTGGTTTAGTTTTAAGTTAAGGTTTAGGTTTAGGTGTTAGTGTAGGTGTAGGTTTAGGTTTAGGTTTATGTTTAGGTTTAGGTTTAGGTTTAGGTTTAGGTTTAGGTTCAGGTTTAGGTTTAGGTTTAGGTTTAGGTTTAGGTTTAAGTTTAAGTTTAGGTTTAGGTTTTGGTTTAGGTTAAGGTTTAGGTTAAGGTTTAGGTTAAGGATTTGGTTTAATTTTAGGTTAAGGTTTAGGTTTAGGTTAAGGTTTAGGTTTAGGTTAAGGTTTAGGTTTCGGTCTAGGTTTAGGTTAAGGTTTAGGTTTTGGTTTAGGTTTAGGTTTAGGTTTAGGTTTAGGTTTAGGTTTAGGTTTAGGTTTAAGTTTAGGTTTAAGTTTAGGTTTAGGTTTAGGTTTAGGTTTAGCTTTAGGTTTAGGTTTAAGTTTAGGTTTAGGTTTAGGTTTAGGTTTAGGTTTAGGTTTAGGTTTAGGTTTACTTTTAGGTTTAGGTTTAGGTTTAGGTTTAGCTTTAGGTTTAGGTTTAAGTTTAGGTTTAGGTGTAGGTTTAGGTTTTGTTTAGGTTTAACCTTAGCTTTAGGTTTAGATTTAGATTTTGGTTTAGGTTTAGGTTTAATTTTAGCGTAAGGTTTAGGTTTAGGTTTAGGTTTAGGCTTAGGTTTACGTTTAGGTTTAGGTTTAAGTTTAGGTTTAGGTTTAAGTTTAGGTTTAAGTGTAGGTTTAGGTTCAGGTTTAGGTTTAGGTTTAGGTTTAGGTTTGTCTGAATAAATAAGAATTTAGGGAAACGTGTGCGATGGATGTAAAAACCCTCTGAACGGGAAGTTTTTAAAAGCTGGAGAAAATTTGAAGTTCCATTTGGATTGTTTCAGGTCCTACATTTATATGTAAAGAGAAGAACAGTATTAGAATCTTGATTTACAATGAATTATTTGGATCAGATATTTTCACTTTTTTAATTTTCTTAAAGTGACAAGACTATAATTTAGACTTAAAAGTTACTTACGTTTCAATCTGAATAACTCCATTTTTGGATTTATGCCACGAAAAGCAACTTAAAATTGTAATTGTCTAAGCCCCTTGGTTTTGCAATATTCGAATTCCTGCATGTAGTAAATCGTTGATTGCTCAGTTAAGTTAATGATTCTCTTGAAAATGAAAAAAGAGGCATTTTTCTGAAGATTGAGTTTGGTCCATGGACCATGAATAACAAAACAAAACCTCTTGCAAAAGGGTGTTTGTGTAGATTTTTATAGGATAGTTAATATTTAAATATTATATAATATCCTAGGTGTTCCAATTGCAAGGAAAACATTCTGGGAACATTCTTTGAAAAAGACGATCAGATTTATTGCCAACTATGCTTTGAAAGGTATCGTAACATCAATTTAATTTTAAAGGAGTTGAGTATTTGCCTGAAACTCAATTTTTTTTATCTCTATATTTTTCAACCTGACGATGTAAACCTTTGAAAATTGATAAAACAGAATTCAAAGTTTAACATTTTTAATATTCTACTTAACAAAGATAGGGGATTTTTAACTTAAATAATTTATTTTGATTAAATTTTACAATATTTTTAAATATTTGTATGATATCAGATGGAAATATTTTGAGATTTCTATATTTCTTGTTTTTCATTTTCTTCATGTTTTTATATATTTCAATCATATTCGGGTTATTTTAAAAATAGAAAGAAAAGACTTTTTTATGGATGTCCTTGCAGTTCGCCACTTTACAAGAAAGAACTATTTTTAAAGGATCTTGCTTTTTTTCTAAACCTTGTATTTAATTGAACCAGCTGATAAAGGGATTAAAAAATCTGCATTTGTACCAAAGTCTCAATTCCTTTTTCCAAAAAGATTAATACAAAATATATTTTATAAAATCATTTTAACAGCGATGGTATGATTTAACAGAGTAGATTCTCTTAACTTCCTTGGAACAGATCTAAATAAATACATCTATGTCTAGCATATTTAAGTATTATATGTTTCAAATAGAGTGAAAGAAGTATGAAATATGGCAGAATAATTGGTTGCAATATTTTCATGGATTCCTGAATATACGGAATCCTGATGATGTAATTGATTAATTATGTTAAATGTTACAAAATGCATTTATGGATAAACCAGACAAACTATTAATATATTATCAATTAAAACGACTTATTCATGATATTTATATTATATATTTACTTATATTTTTCAAAATGAAAAGGAACTGATATCGGAACTATTGAATGAGATATCATTTGATCTCGATATCCAATATGGGCACTTTTAAATTTAAGGATCTATGCTTGATCCTTAGTTAATAAATGAAAGTTATGCATGCAGAGCATGCCATCACAGGATATGGAAAAGAAATAAATCTGCATATGATGTAGATCAATGCTGTATCCATAGATTCACAAAACAAAAGTTCAGACTTTTGATCAATTTCTCATCACAAGATATAATACTTACATATACTTACATATTTGCAAACTGATATCAAGAGTCTGCGATATTCTAAACTTTAGATTCTGTTACGGTGAGGCCCATAAAACTGTGACATTTCAGCAATTTATTGTTTATTTAATGTTGTTAAAAAGCAAGAAATTTTACCGGTTGCTTCAAAAACATACTATTTAATGGCTGTGTTTCATGTTTATTGGACTATATAAAATCATACATTGTCCCTATTCCACTGTTTTATGGTTCTCACTGTACATCGAACTATGAAAGCATCAAGTTGCAAAAATATAGTATTTATAAAATTAGAGTTTGATTCGGGTAATTAGTACTCTAAAGGTACTGTAAGCGTAATTACAAGTGACAATCCACTTAAACATATTAATGTCCGATTCACAACTGTACTCTTGAAACCTGTATCTGATCAAGGATGTGGAAGATATTGTCGTTTTTTCTAGGTTTAATAATTTGATACAATTAGTTTACAAAGTTCTAAACATTTTATCATAATTCATACTTGAACAGAGAAAGGTTTTAAGGGTACCGTTGTGAATCAGGGTCACATCTTTGAATGAAGGGTCACTTAAATACACGCTTACAGTTCCTTTTATAAATGTTTATAAATCTGCTATTTATAAAATGTTTATAAAATCCACTATTTATTTCAGAGAAAAGGCCAAGAAATGTACCAGATGCGGGAAGCCTATAATACAATTACTAAATGAGGGTACGAATAATTATATAAATTATAAAGAAATTTCGAGATACATATTGGATTATACCGTATACGTTATCAAGAAATGGTTTAGAAATTTTATTCATCAGTTTATTATTTCCTTAACCATATGGTGATAAATGGACGATAGGTTATAAAGTAATAATTTTCTATAATTAAACTATAAAATAAATCTGAAAAAGTGTCGAAGAAAACCGTCCACTGTTATTTTGCAAACTTTCTAGTTTATATGTCAGGTTAGTTGGTAGACCTGTTTATATGTCAGGTTAGTTGGTAGACCTGTTTATATGTCAGGTTAGTTGGTAGACCTGTTTATATTTCAGGTTAGTTGGTAGTCCTGTTTATATGTCAGGTTAGTTGGTAGACCTGTTTAAATGTCAGGTTACTTGGTAGATCTGTTTATATGTCAGGTTAGTTGGTAGATCTGTTCATACGTCAGGTTAGTTGGTAGATCTGTTTATATGTCAGGTTAGTTGGTAGATCTGTTTATATGTCAGGTTAGTTGGTAGATCTGTTTATATTTCAGATTAGTTGGTAGACATGTTTATATGTCAGGTTAGTTGGTAGATATGTTTATATGTTAGGTTAGTTCCAAGTAGACCTGTTTTTATGTTTGCCAAAAATCTTTTTTTTGGATGCATAGGGTATCAAATCAGAAATGGTATCACACTACCCTATCTCAACTCTAAGGGCAAAATCATAATTTCTGTTTTTTTATTAAAATACTTTTTCGCCCTTTAAAAGTAGTTTCAATTTTTATGACAAGGAATAATTGAAAATATGTAAACTTTCTAATGTTTAGCTCTGTGGAGAAAACCAACACGGAAAAACATTCTTCACCTACAAAGACGACATTCTTTGCTTCAACTGTGATTCTGTTCTCACTAAGATTGTTTAAAATTTATCTATTTCAACTTAAACTGGGTCGAGTTTAACTTAAACTGAATCTAGTTCATTTTAAAATGTATCGAGTTCAACTTAAACTGAATTGAGTCCAACGAGTCCAACATAAATTGAATCGCGTTTAACTTAGACTGAATCTAGTTCAATTTAAACGGAATCGAGTCAAACTTTAACTGAATCGAGTTCAGCTTAAACGGAATCGAGTTCAACAACAAGTTTGAAATATATAAGTTTATTTTCTTGCATCACCGCTGATATATCCCAATACAATTTTATACGTTAGGACGAGTAAGTAAATGGTCCAGAATTGTCACTTTCTATAGTGTCAACAAGCGAGTAAATTAAAATTACATTGAAAATCTCGTTAAAAATATATTTTGGTCTCGTTAATCTCGTTAAAAATATATTTTGGTCATGGCAAAATTTCTGTTAAATATTCTTGATTTTAAAATATCTTAGTTATCGGATTTTAATTTGGTTAAGAACAATTCTCATAATCAATGAAATATTTAAAAAATTAATACACATGAAGATTTAGTAATTTATTTTTGATTAAAATTAATACAAAAAATAAAGTTATAAAAAGTATATGATACTTAAAATGTACACTAAAAAAATTTAAATAAATGTATTAAACATAGTTGTAATATCATAAGTTAAGAATATGTACTTAAATACTAAATTCCTGTCAAACGTTAGAAAGGAATTGAGTTTTTGCCACAAACTCTGATTTTCTAATCCTAATATCTTTCCAATCAAATCTCGTAAACCTTAGATATTTCAAACTATGAATTCTGTAAGATTAAATATTCTAAGTTTGAAATATTAAGGGTTTAAACCATTCGGTACAGCTATAGGGATTCGAAAAATTGAGTTTGCGGAAAAAAAACTCAATTCCTTTCTTTACATTTTAACCTTCTATACAAACTTTTGTGATTTGAGATTCTTTGTCATAAAAGCAGGTTGGAAAATATCGTTTTTATACATAAATTTAAGAAGAGATGTCAAAAAGTATTTTTCTATGCAAAGTTATTAAAGCAGTTTGATGAACAGACTTAAAAAGAATATTAGACAAATTTACGTTTGATACTACTGGAAGTAAACCAGAGGACGAATTTAAATTTCGGCTCAAATATGGTTGGTTCCAAGTAAAATTGTATTTAATGTTTCAAGATAAAAGCCAGCATTCATTGAAACCGGGTTTTTGGCGGATTTGAGGCGCGGCTCAAATTCATTAGATTCGGACACAGATCCAGTAAAAATGCTGTATATAGTATAATTGTGTATAGTTGTGGAAAAAGATTTTTGGAAGAACTAGACTAGATTCTGTAGACTAGCATTTCAGAAATATTATTATTTTAAAGTGAAAGATTAGATTTCGGCAAATGAGAATGGGTTGGCAACACTGGGATTAAATTAGAATATTTTAGAATAATTTGAAATTACTAAGGATTTAAAAAATAAAGTAGTACATTTTAGAATAGTCCAGGATAAAAAATTTAAAGTAATTGATAAGAATAGATTCGATTAAATCTGAATTGATCTGTAAAGTTTAGAGTACATTAGAAAGACAAGAATTTATCTGTAAAGTTTCGATTACATTAGAAAGATTAGAATTAATCCGATAAGTTTAGAGTACATAAGAAAGATTAGATTTAATATCTGATAAGTTACCTTAAAAAGATTAGAATTGATCTGATAAATTTCGATTACATTAGAAAGATTAGAATTAATCCGATAAGTTTAGAGTACATTAGAAAGATTAGATTTAATATCTGATAAGTTACCTTAAAAAGATTAGAATTGATCTGATAAGTTTCGATTACATTAGAAAGATAAGGATTGATCTAATAAATTTGGAGTACACTAAAAAGATTAGAATCGATCTATTAAGTTAAGAGACATTAGAAAGATTAAACGATAGGATTTGAACACTTTGATCTGAACCTGGAACAGTCTGAGCCAAGGAATCCCAGTTTAAAAGCTTTCATCAGATCCTGAGCAATATATTGATTAAATGTAATAATGATAATTATAACATAAATCATAATGTTTTTAAAATCAAATCGTATTTTTCTACATTGCATAAAATAGTTAGATTTGTGAAAAATTATCCTAATTGTTCATTGTACATACTAACCGACATATGAGGATCATCCTTGTACATTGCCTCATTTTCTTCTGTGTTGATGTTGCTAAAAAAGAAAATATCTTATTAAATTTGTTTCTAATTGTAGAATTGTCTTAATCCTATAAAAAGTGTATTCATGATAAAAAAAAACTTTCAGATCAAAGACTTCTAGATATTTTTATATGATATCTAGTTCAACTACTACTTCGTTTGGACATTTCAGCACTCTCAATGGCTGATCCAAATATAATTCTTTCATTGGTTGTTCGTAAGCCCCTTGTGGTGGGCTGGTTCAAAAATTCATTGATTGAATTGATTTCAAATTTCTTTTTGAAGATTTCAGAAAGGTTAAACATCTGACATTTTCCCAATAATATCAGATTGTGAGATAATTAAAAATAATCAGATGTTTGATTGATTGATTGATTGATTGATCGTTTGATTGATTGATTACCTCATTATCTGGAAGACGATCTTGTTCAGTCTCAAGTTTCCGGTTTGGTTTGGAACCTGGCTTGATTCACAGGCAACATACAATTGGCACTCAGTCTAAATAAAATAAAAATAAGATTATCCCTGGTATCAAAAGTAAATCTTTAACCTTAAACGAATAGAAAGAGAAGAAGAACAGATTTATTTAGCACTTACAACTAGAAAATTGCCTCAATGGTCATTTTTCAGAGTGAAAAAAAAATGAAAAAAATGGAAAATAAAAAAATTGTTTCACAGAAAAAAGTTTGAATAAAGCACGATCTGGAATTTCGGTGAAATTTGTTATTTTTCTTGGATTATTCTTAAATGGACTGTAAAGGAAAAATGAAAAGGGGTATAGGCTGAAACCTAAACATTTTAGGAGTTAAACGAGACCCATGAGAGTTCTATCTGATGTTCCTGTCAAATTTATACGAAAATTCATATCTATAATATTTTGTATAAAAATAAAAGGTTTAAAAACACATCATATTCAGCAAATACACAACAAATCTAAAAACAACGATAGCCCATAGGAGAGGAGCCCTCCATTATTATTTTTTATTGTTATTTTTAATAGATATTATTGGTAATATAATGAAAACGTCCGTATCAAGTGACCAGAACTCCCACCAATGGCAGTGCAGTATCATTATCACGTGACTTCGTATGTATAAGGTGACCAGCAAGCTGCACTGCCATTGGTGGGAGTAATGGTCACTTGATACGGACGTATAAATAATATTATCAATTATATCTTTTACAAATGAAAAATTATTGAATTCAAATAATAATAGGAGCACACCTAAGTTTCTTAGGCTCCTCTGGGGTATCGTCGTTTTCAGATTGGTTGTGTATTTGCTGAATATGATCCTTCTAAACTTATTAGTTGTATGCCAAATTTGTTATATACAGATTTTTGTATAAATTTGAGACAGTTTTTATTCTCAATTTCTCGAGACAGGAACATCAAATAGAACTCACATGGGTCTCGATCAATGCTTAGGTTTCAGCCTATACCCCCTTTCGTTTTTCCTGTACAGTCCCTTTAAGAAATTATAAATTACCTCAGTTACTTCATACTTGTTGAATGCTTCAGCTAACAGATATAGTTGGTTTGTGAAATCTAAATTATATTTATCAGCTTTTAGGATCAACATGAAACTTTATGAGCTTAATTTTCTAAACACAAATATATTTTAGAATAAAAATATTATATATTTATAATAATTTTTTGTTTTGCAGTTGGCAGCAGCTGATTGCATATGCATTTTGCAATATATGTTCATTCATATTGTTAGTGTTCATCTATTTTTTATCAAACTATATACGGCTGAAACAATTTCGATTTTAACAAAAAGAACAATTTTTATAATTTTTTTTTTATATAATTTTAGATAACTTTTTATTTCATTTGATTAAAAGAATGAAAGAAAGTAATTAGTCCCCTGAAACTCTATTTCACGTTACCATGCATCTTTATAACCTGATGGTGTAAACCTTTCATACATCAAACTTATACATTTTACTTTTTAGAATATGAGTGTAGTAATCAACCAGATCCTTTGAGGGGTTTACTTAGGAATTTATCTTTTTGGGAGAATAACGAAATTTTTTAATTAATAAAGGATTCCCATGGGTTGAAGTTTGACGGTTACTGTTGTCAATCGTTTATGACATTTAATATTGTTTACAAAATTAAAATATGATTCCACCTGATGAGGGAAATGCTCCATTTAAAACTTTGATTTATTGACATCGATCAATTTTTCGATGACAAATACTAAAGTAAAACATAAATCTATCTAAATTTAATAAACAATTTTTTCCAGGATATCCTGGGAAATTTGAGGTTTTAGATTAAAACCGTGGATACAGCATAGTATTTAATGTTATTAAAAACATAAATTGTAGACTAAGATATGATTTGACCACGTATGTCTGGACTATCATTCGTGAAACTTTTTGCAAATATTATTAAATAAGTTTATAGCATTGATAGTACACATATTTGCAAGACAAAAAACTAATTGTTTTAATTTTCAAAAATATTTTGTTTCACAACAATAGTTTTGCTAAATGATTAAAAATTCTGCTCAGGACCCCCTCCCCCACTCCTTTATTATAAGAATTGATATACAAAGAGCAACCAATTTTTTCACACTCTGACGCGCGCAGATGGTTGAATGAATGCTTTGTGGAAAAAGTGTATAATTAATATAAAATTGTAAAGAAACTTGTTAATAATGTGTCAAGAGCAAGTAAAATTCGGGTCTAATTCTATGGTTTATGTGTATTATTATTGTTTGGTTACAATCATAATAAATGAAGGTTAAAACCTCAGGCATATGCAATCTATATTATATTATCATATATTTCTCAATACCCCAACTTGTGTTACCGAAGCTCACTTTTCTTTACCCATGTGTCAAGCTAAAATAAATTTCTCGTAAGACTAAAATCATAGGTGCTGCGAAGTCACAAAACCCTGCCGGTAATGTCGCATACATTTGGCTTTCTCCTTTCATCTAATTTAATTATATGTATATACATATATATTGTATATGTATATATATTTATATATATAGTATTTTCAACTTTTTTAAAGTTTAGATATACATTTTAGATGTTTAAATATATATTTTCCAAGACAAAATGTTTCATGGGTCAGACCCAATCATTATTTTGAATTAAAATATATATATGTAAATTCAGATGTGATCACTTTGGAACTTTAGATATATAAATAATTGCAGGTAAGGAGTAACATCTGACGAATTAACTACTTTCATTATTCAAATTAGAAAAAAATTTAAAATCACCGTTGAACTAATTTAGGTTTTAACTGTGGTTTAAAAAGAATTTATCAATCGTTGTTTTTCCGTACTTTGTGAAACTTAATAGTTTATTGCGCACACAATGATTTCGCATTTGTCACTTTATTATATCATTTATTTGCAACTTTTTCTGGGAAAACAGGACAACTGTACACAACACAGTGAGTGTCAGAAAACAGGACAACTGTACACTACACAGTGAGTGTCAGAAAACAGGACAACTGTACACTACACAGTTAGTGTCAGAAAACAGGACAACTGTACACTACACGGTTAGTGGCAGAAAACAGGACAACTGTACACTACACAGTTAGTGTCAGAAAACATGAAAATTGTACACTACACAGTTAGTGTCAGAAAACAGGACAACTGTACACTACACAGTGAGTGTCAGAAAACAGGAAAACTGTAAACTACACATTTAGTGTCAAAAAACAGGACAACTGTACACTACATAGTTAGTGTCAGAAAACAGGACAACTGTACACTACACAGTGAGTGTCAAAAAACAGGACAACTGTACACTACACAGTGAGTGTCAGAAAACAGTACAACTGTACACTACACAGTTAGTGTCAGAAAACAGGACAACTGTACACTACACATAACACAGTTAGTGTCAGAAAACAGGACAACTGTACACTACACAGTGATTGTCAGAAAACAGGACAACTGTACACTACACAGTGAGTGTCAGAAAACAGGACAACTGTACACTACACAGTGAGTGTCAGAAAACAGGACAACTGTACACTACACAGTGAGTGTCAGAAAACAGGAAAACTGTACACTAAACCTTATTGTCAGAAAAACAGGGGAAAGGACTTTCAGAATGTTGTTTAACTTATGCATCATCAATTCATGAAATATTTAGAATTGTGTCAAGATTTGTTTTAAAAGATCAATTATTTGTTTTATGTAGTAAAGGTAAAAAATTTTGAGAGCTCATAAAATGTAGAATCTTTCTTTAATGAAAAACTAGCTTGAGAACCCAGCATTGCAAAGGGTTCTCTAATCAAAAATTTGAGACAAATAGGTCGGGATTCCTGAGTTATGATACCAGGCACGATATGAGACCAGTGTATATGTGTTTAATGTTCAACTTTCAACTTACAATTTACAATTTAGAATTTAGTCTAGTCAATAATAAATTATTGCCATTTTACGCTTAGACATTTACAATTTACAATTTACAATTTACAATTTACAATTTACAATTTACAATTTACAATTTACAATTTACAATTTACAAATCCTTTATTTACTTGTATATTTTTATCCATAAACGTCTACATTTCCAATGAATTATATACAAATTACAATTTATGTATATATGACAATTTACCATTAGGTTGTAAATTTACCATTAGGTTGTAAATTTACCATTAGGTTGTAAATTTACCATTTGGTTGTAAATTTAGAAATGACAAAGGAACATTACACTGGTCTCTAATGGTTGTGATCGCACATCCAAACAAACAGAAAATACAACTTCATATTACAGTTTATTTTTTGTAAATATTTTCAATAAATTATTATTATTATTACTATTATTATTTGATTATAGAATGCGTCATACTTTCAAACTTTTAAACTTAACTAATGGTGGTTTGCAAAATCCATTAGTTTAGAAAACATATAATATGAAATATATAGAAATAAATATGGATTTCTTTATTGAAAAAGAAAAAACCCACTGGGTGGCGTATACTTCTTTAATATGATGTAATTAAACAAATTATGCCCATAAAGAACTTTCTTAAAAACTATTTTACGATTTTACCCCTCCCCCCCATCTCCATCCTCCCCCCTTCTCTACTGGATATAATTGGTTCACACATCTGTTGTTATGTAAAGATAAATGAGCCTGGGCTAGATTTCAACTTTTTCTTCTCGATCTTCTTAAATGATATGTTGGACAAGGTTAAACGGCAGCTGACAAATTAGAAACAATTAAAGTGAGTCTCAGTGAATTTGCAAGCAAGAAATAAAATTCAAACATGGCGTGGTGCCTGAAAAACATTTTTTATAATTTGGCATATTTTCAAAAACAAATTTGAAAATGATCCTAAAATCTGTCTTGTAATCAAAAAAAGAGTCGCCTTAAACCTTAAAACATTTATATAGCTATTTAGTCAGTTAGTTACAAAGTTAGTTAGTTAGATTTTTAGTTAGTTAGATATTTAGTTTGTTAGTTATATAGTTAGTTAGTTAGTTAATTAGTTAGTTAGTTAGTTAGTTAGATAGTTTGTTAGTTAGTTAGATATTTCGCTAGATAAGGAAACTGTCAGTATGTTGTTAGTTAGTTAGTTAACTAGTTAGGTAGTTAGAAAGTTAGTCTGTTAGTTAGTTAAATAGTTAGTTAGTTATCTAGTTAGTTAGTTAGATAGTTAGTTATCTAGTTAGTTAGTTAGAAAGTTAGTCAGTTAGTTAATTAGTTAGTTTGTTGGTTAGTTAGTTAATTAGTTAGTTTGTTAGTTAGTTAGTTATCTTGTTAGTTAAATAGTTAGTTAGTTATCTAGTTAGGTAGTTCGAAAGTTAGTCAGTTAGTTAGTTAAATAGTTAGTTAGTTATCTAGTTAGTTAGTTAGATAGTTAGTTATCTAGTTAGTTAGTTAGAAAGTTAGTCAGTTAGTTAATTAGTTAGTTTGTTGGTTAGTTAGTTAATTAGTCAGTTTGTTAGTTAGTTAGTTATCTAGTTAGTTAGGTAGTTATTTAGTTAGTTAGTTAGTATCCCTACTCCTTCCTCCAACTATATCAGATGAACTTACTATCATCAACTTGTCTCTTGAGTCTAGCTCCCTGGAACTGTTCCTGACCATAATCTCCTCGTTGCTGGTATCCGTTCCCGTAGCCAGCAGCTGGTGCTGCTTGGGAGTCAAGCAGTTTAGAAATCAGAGCACCACCGATTAAAATCACTCCTGGGGGACAGGAAAATTTTATAATCAGGGTGTGAGACAATATTATCTAATCTTTTATTTAGATAGAGAGAAAAAATATTGCCAAAGACTAAAATCTGATGCAAATCTTTCATATTTCAAAACTGAATTATTTGATCAAACAGCATTCATAGTTTGAAATATGTTCTTCGACATTGGGAATCAGGAAATCAGAGTTTGTGGCAAAAACACAATTCCTTTTGGATATTTACAATATTGTGACGTCACTATGAGTAATGTAAACAAATCAAGTTTTTTGAAGATTAAGTTTTGATGAAGTATTAAAAAAGAATAATGCAATAAATATTCAGTTTGACAAGGAGAAAGAGGACAATTTGTAAATCTGTATAATTATAGGATCAAAGCTTGAGAAATTTGAAAAATATTTTCAAACATGGTTTGTGAAACTATTAAGAATATGGTTTGTGAAACTATTAAGAATATGGTTTGTGAAACTATTAAGAATAAAAATATCAATCTTCAGACAGAAAGCAAACGTGTCATAAGAAGTTTCGGCCTTTAGGAACCTCATTAAAGGGACTGTTATTGGTATTTGAAGTGACCTCTCCACAGTCCCTTCAAACTTTTATCTGATCGATAATGTCAAGCATAGTTTTCCTAGATTAATTCTGATTATTTTTTTAAAGCAGAAATCCGCAACTCATTTTGTTAACCCTATCCCTGCTGGAGTAATTGAAAACCAGGATACGCTGGGAGGGGGGGGGGGCAATTTGACCCCACCCCAGGATCATATTTCCCCCTATGAATCTCATGTTTGATACATCATTGGAAAGCTCTTAAGCTCTAATTTTAGAATCTGCCAAAAAATTAGCAAATTTGCAAAAAATGAATTTTTTTGTTGCAAAATGCAATTACTAAAGTAAAAATGTTTGCAAAGAAAACTGTCAAAAAAATGATAAAATATACATTTTTGATAAGCCCTTGACCATGCTATTTCAAATATGAAGAAAAGCTTGCAAAATTTTTAATAACCTGATGTGTAATTAGAAAAACTAAAAATGTGCAAATTTCTTTTGACGAGTTGTATTTCAAAACTTGCGCAATCCGTTTCCTTTTGTTTAGGCGTTCCAAAAAGCTAAAAATTATCAAAGTCTGACTAAGGAAAGACTTTGTTACAAAAAAGTAGTCATTCAGTCAGTGTGTCTGAGTTAATAAAAAAAAACCCGGTTTTGGACCTAAAGGGAGGGCAATGGGTATTTAGGAAAAGTCAGAATTTTCAACAGCCTCAGACTTTTTGAGTTATCCCCCCCCCTCCCAGCAGGTATAGGGTTAAGAAACCATAATTGAGAATAATCAATTCAATAATTCAATAATCAATTAGGGTATTATCTCAGTCAAGAAAAAGTCCCAATTTTAACACTCAATTTAAAAGATTTAATTGACTTTTTTAGTTTAAAAACATCAGCATTAGTATTTTAGAAGTTTCAAAATGTGCCTCTTTCTGAGAAAAATCTCTGTTTTACCAGCAATAATGGCAGCGTAGATAACGTATGTAGTATTAAGAGCAATGTAGTAGGTTCCACCAGAGGAAAATATTGATCTATCGTCACCCTCGTAGAGATCTCCGTCAAAATCTATAGTATCTATACTACCACCAGCTACTAGGCCGGTCAAATAAACTAGACTTATCAAACACAACATTTTTTCCTGTAATTCAGCCATTTTCATATTAAAAGCAATGTTTGAAACCTAGGTGAGTACTTTTTGGTAACAAATTTATTTTTTATGTGCTTTGTGTAATTTTTATGGTTAATAGCCTAGTTCTTTTGAAGTCATTGCTTGTAAGTCCAGTTTTGAAGTTGACTAGTTGTTTGGATATCAATTAGTCTAGCAGTCAGTAGTTTTATTGTCCATCTGTCTAACTATCTATTTTTCCCACCGTTTACACAATTTTTACTTTTTATTGTCTTGAAACTTTTTTAGTTCCCTCTTTTAGATGTTTAGTTTCTAATTCTAATAGTCTAATCTTTTAAATTCATTTATAGTTCTCTACTTGTCTATTTGATGTATATGTTTATATTTTATGTGTCTAGTCTAGTATTTTATGTGTCTAGTCTAGTATATTTTTAGTTTTTTATTTATCTAGCTGTTTTTGTGTGTGTTTAGTGGTTTATGTGTTTAACTGTCTATGTGTCTAGTTGTCTCTGTGCCTGCCTTGTTGTCTAAGTGTCTAGTTGTCTATGTGTATAGTTTTCTATATCTCTAGTTGTCTATGTGTCTAGTTGCCTATGTGTCTAGTTGTATAAGTGTCTAGTTGTCTCTGTGCCTTGTTGTCTAAGTATCTAGTTGTCTATGTGTCTAGTTGCCTATGTGTCTAGTTGTATAAGTGTCTAGTTGTCTCTGTGCCTTGTTGTCTAAGTATCTAGTTGTCTATGTGTCTAGTTTTCTATGTCTCTAGTTGTCTATGTGTCTAGTTGTCTATGTGTCTAGTTGTCTATCTGCTTAGTTGCCAGGAGCCAATCTGACCAGTTTTGTTGTCTAATTGTAAATGTGCCTCGTTGAATAATTGTTTGTTGTCAATCTGCCTTGTTGTTTAGTTGTCTAGCTGTCTATATATCACTGACTATTCTCCGACTGATGTCTAAATGCGTTTCTCCGTGACGCAGATAACTTCTGACGCACATGAATACTATCTTTGCGACGCGTGAGTCTGAATGCGCGGTCACAGTGAAATGTCTTGAAATACACTGAGTAATTCTCATATTTATCAACCTTCACATTGAACAATATGGTTAATCAATTATGTTCAAATTTGTCAGATGCAGTTGGGATTGCATTTTTTTTGAATATATATATATATTCAGTTTTACTCTTTTTTTAAAGAAAAAAATGTAAAAATATGAGAAAATTAAATTTAAGCTTCAGTCACATTTAACTTTATTTCTTCTAAGATTTTTAAAAAACAAAATTTTACAAATACTAGAGGGAGGATTAGGTTACATCAAATCATCCCTCTCCCCCCCCCCTCTTTCCCTCACCACATATATGGTTAGCCATTTCTCTGTCATTAATAAAGATACTAATGTGTTCCTTAATTAATATCCCATAAATTGCAATATTAATTTACCCCTTTTGGTAAAAAAAAAACAAATCAATTGTATTCTTTTTCGCATAGATACGTATATTTCAACGTTAAACGAGTTTTATATATTCTTCTTGGTCGGTTCTACAGTTCCAAAAAAAACATTTATAATCCTTGCACCTTTTTTAATTTTTAGTTGCATACCTTACGATAGATTCTACTAGATCAAATTGTTATTCATAGTTTGAAATTTTAAGGATTTAAATCAATCAGGTCGCGAAAATATAGGATTTGAAAATTTGAGTTTAAGTCAAGTTTTCAAGCTCATTTTGAGGCTTTGTAAAAATGTAAAAAAAAACTCTTTTGTTAAATTAAAGATTCTGTTTTTTAAAACAATAAAATACTTTTTTAAATGAAATTCTTTAAGAATGCAAATATCTAAGAAATAATCTACTTATGAAAGAAAAAGTAATTTATTGTGTATGGTGTATAAAAAGCGTTAAAGTCTGAAGGATGTTTGCTAATATATAAACGTATGTTTGTTTGTTCACCCATGTAAACAATTAATTAAATTTGACGGGATTTCACTCAACCAACTTAAACTATAGCACGGACTTTATTTGGTAATACTAGTAATAGTGGATCTAATGTGTTTCACCAAGTTTTACAAAATCTATATATAAATTTGGCTTGTTTGTCTGTCTGTTTGTTTGTCTGTTTGTTTGTTTGTATCCAATAAACGTCAAAACGGCTGAACCGATCGGGCCCAAATTTTTTGTGGGACATCTAGGGAGCCCAGGGAAGGTTTATGAATCATCAAAATTTCAAATATTTGTCTCCATCAAAATTCGATCGTCATTAAATTTTTTAAAATTTTGAAAATCCGCGAAATTTTTGGTGAAAATCCGCGAATTATTTTTGTTTAGTTTTACGATGTACACAAAGAGAACATGTTTACAACTAATTTAGAAGATGGGCGCGAAGCGCCCTCTAAGGCTAGAAAGAAGGGCGCGAAGCGCCTTGAATTTCTAGTATAGTAAATATAGATAAGTTGAAGTGAAGGCTTTAAGTTGGGAATGGTTGTTTGGCTGAATATGCTTATTATTGTGAAAATGTATCTGAATTGAGGTGTCATTCAAAAATTTAATAATTTTTTTTTCTCGTTTCATTTTTAACCTCGAACATTTAGAGCGCCCCCTTCCCCCTTCCTGTTTTTACCTCTGGCTGAGTCAAACGCTGGCTAATTTCTTCCCAATTTGACTAATAAATAATTGTCATTCTCAAAAAAATGTATTACAGAATAAAAAGCAAAAAAACTAATATTCTACAAATCTTTAATCTGCTTCTGATAAAGTAACTTTTCTCCTCTTTGGACTGATTTTTTAGTGAATTTTAGTAAAAGAAGAATTTTAGTGGTTTGAAAATAAAAACCACGCAATAGCTTTAATGGCAAATAATCTAACCATTAATTTCATTTTGTTTTCACAAAAATTCAGAGGCGGCTAGGGGGGGGGGAGGAGTGACACGTCCCCTCTCTGGAAAAATTAGGAGTGCAAGAAGAGAGATCAGGGACGTTCTAGATCTTTAATTTAGATTTTTGAAATTAGATCTTTAAAGATTTTTCCCTGAAGTGCGGCGCCACTTCTTCACTCAAAATGAATATTCAAAAACAAAAACAAATATTACTAAAACATTTTCCAGCCCCCCCCCCCCCTGCTCATGGTTTTGACATAAAATTGACCAAAATCTCAGGGGGGAGGGAATTATTTGACTGGGGGATACAAATCCCCCCCCTCACTGGAAAATATCATAGGACGCCCCTGCATGAATTCACACTTTTATTTATAGCCAGACGACATTTGACGTTTTAAAAGTATTATAAATTTATCAAAGAACCAGAGAAATCTGCACGCAACCTTGCATTTTTTTATTTTTGTATTATACAAGAAAAATAGTTAACAGTTAACGTATCAATTGAAAGCTAAAATTATTTAAGTAAAAAGTACGAAAGTTTTATCAAACATATAAGCAAGTTTGTGACGTAATAGTTCAGTAGCACGTTCAAACTCATTTAGTTAAAAATACAACCTTTAGCTTTATATAATTTTAACTTGTTTCTTTAGTCGTTATTGAAATAAGTTTTAAAAAATATTCAAGAAAATAGTTTTGGTAAATACTCTATTTATTTATATGTTGTGTACTTGTAAAAATATCATATTAGTAATCGCATAGTAAATAAATCAAAGCTGTTTACGTGGTATTTTATTTATTGATTAAAAACTGTTTAGGTTGACGCCATTATCATAATTTAACAGATTTAGCGACGCCATAGATGTTTAGAAATTTAAATAGAACAAACTTGGTTTTAAAACGGCCATCTTTAATTTTCTCCTTTTCATTTATCATGTTTAATGAGACCCACAGTAGTTAATTTTCTTGCTTGTATGATGTATCTAGTGTAAGTGAACAGATTATGTAATTATTACGAGGTTTAGAAAATTTATTGTAGATTGTAAAATATATACATAAACATTTGATAGCTGTACAATGTGCAAATTTATCAAAATGTTCTAATCCTTATATCTGTGCTACCTGACAGCGTAAACCTTTGATCTTATATTATTTGATCTAACAGAATTTATAGTTTGAAATATCTAAAGTCTACGACATTAGTTTGCACAGATATAAGGATTAGAAAATCAAAGTTTGTGGCAAACACTCAATTTTTTTATTGCTATAAATATGTGTCTCTAACTTTTATTTGTGATAAACCTGACAAAATTTGAGAAAACAATGCTATAATATAATTATATACGCGACCAGGGCAAGAATACCATCAATATCAAAAACCACTTGATCAAATTTCAGGAGTTGATCGAACAAGAGTACGCCAGCAATTAAGGTTACAAGCTAGTTTAACATGTATTAAAACCAAATGTGATGTTATTTTCATCTTAGTTTTAGCTTTGTCTTTCTTCCTCTCTTTCTTTCCATTTCTCCATTCTTCTCACTATTTTTCCTACTTTCTCTAGTTTTTCTTTTCGCTTCTTGTTTAATTTCCTATTCCCATTTTTTGATAAACTCTTGAATTTTGATCAAGTGGTTTTCGATTATTTAGTATTCTTCCCGATCAGTAAAGCCGATTTAATGAATAATTCAACTTAGTCTTTGCGATTCAACTATGTCTTGCTACTGAGTAAACAGTCCAGGTTTTTACTTTTATTCAAGGCTAAAAACTGTCATAAAATTTAACAACTTTCATATGATTTATTAGTCTGTAGTTTACTTTGGTAAGATGGATATTATTGTGGTTTGTATGTATACGTATTTACACAAACTTAACCTAGAAAACATACTTGATAACATATTAATCATGAAACAATGAACCATTCATCTTATAATCTTGTCTTCTTTGTTCGCCTGGAGATATAAATAAATTAAGAAACTATATAATCCAATGACAACGTTCAGTTTGTTTGTCTCCTTTTTTAGTGAATTCGGAATAATTGACAAAAAAATGAAACTTAATTATTGACATAAAATGGAATTCAAAGGACTGTGGAATGGAATGGAATGTGTTGTTGTTATAAAGCAAATAGTTTTACAAGTGCAGCTAAAAAAATCCTTTATATCTAAGTGAAATGTTTATTTGTTCACTACGCTAATGCTTTGCTTCATGTTTAATGGCGCTTTTAAAATTCAAATTAAAAATGACAGGGGGTATAAGCTGAAAGCTAATTACTTTAGCTCTTGATCTTGATTTTTTAAAGTCCGTATTACGTTACCAGAACTCCCACCAACGTTATTGCAGTATAGTGGTCATGTGTCTCTGTCTGTATCACATGTCCAGTATACTGCACTCTC